TCGTCGGGGGTGCTCCCCGACATCGCTGGGCTGGTGCTGCAGGATCGTGAGCCTGGCCCTGTGGTCGGGCCCCGCGGCCTCGTGTCGTCGCCGTGCTGCGACGACCGCGCCGCGGCCGCGGGCTCCCCCGAGCTGGCCAGCGGCGCCCGCGTAGCCGTCGCTCGCCAGCTCGCGGCCGAGGGGTTGACCGCCCACGAGGAGGAGGGGGGGAGGGCGCCCCCCCCTGGGCCGAGAGCTTCGGCTCTGCTATCGACGGCCTGGCGGGAGAGGTGGGGCCGACCGCGAAGGGGGCTGCCCGCCTCGCCGCCGCGGGCCGCCGGCTTGCGCGGCGCCCGAAGGTCGCCGGGTGATGCTCGAGCCTTTTTTGGGCCACTGCGTTTTCCAGCTCATGGGGGGGCGGCTCCTCGGGGCGGCCCCTCTCGAGCACCTTCGGCTCGCGCTGCCGCTTTGTTGGGGCGCGCCCTTCCGCGACGTGATCGACGATGCTGAAACTGTCCTCCCTATTGCACCTCCGCCGCCCTATTCTTGGAGACGCAGGCGCGGCCCCCCTGCGGCCCCCGCAAAGCTATTCAAGATGGGCCTCTGGCGCGCTATCTCGTCGAAGCCTCGGTTCCGCAAGGGGCGCGTTGCCCTACTGGGGGCCCGTGCTGGGGGAATGGTACGTAAGTCGGTTGGGAGGTCTGTGGGCAACCGCAATACCAAGCACCTCATCCTCGGGTTCTCGATGGGCACCCCATTGGCCTTCCTCAATAAGCGCAGTGGAGACAACCGCATGCTGGGGCGTTGCAGGAGCGTTGCAGCCTATGCATTCGCACTCGATTGCAAGTTCAGGTGTAAATCGGCCGTGTCTGAAGTGAACCGCGCTGGTTCGCCCTCCAGGATGTTCGAGACTTCTGCCCATGGGCGGACGCGCCGCGGACGTGCATCTCATCCTTCTTCCTTTTTTGTCTGTAGCCAGCTGGCTCGCAGCGAGGAGTTCCCCGCCCTCGATGCTCCGAGCACCGATTCAGACTCCGGCGTCAACGAAGGCCGCGCTTGGCGATGTGATCCAGGCTCTCTGCGGGCCGCTGGCGGCCTCCAGCTCCCGCGGGGGGCGGGCTCTCCGTCGCCGCAGCATCGGCGAGCTCGTCGAGATCGGGGCCTCCGCCTGTGGCTCGCATGCTTCGCCCCCCGCGGGGCGACCCGCCCGCTCGGCGCGCGGGCCGCCTCCGCCAGGGCCGCGCGAAGGCCCGCCGGGCGAAGCGCGCGGTCTCGGCGAGGGGGGGCATCGCGGCCTGTCCTGCTCAAGATCAGAACAGGAGACACATAAACATAAAGGGTTCTATTGGTTTTACGCCGGAAGGGGGCGTCGTTGACAGGGCGCCTGGCACGGATGCGGCGATCGGCGCGGCGTCGGTCTTTGGAGCTGGCGGTTTGCGCGGCAAGTGCGTCTAGCTGGCCGCGCGCGTTCGGGGCGCGTGACGGGTGGAAGGGCCGCTCGCCAGCAACTGGCAGTCCTCTGCCCGCGGGCCAGAATAAATCGTCGCGCGCTCGCAACGGGGCGTGGGAAGGGTGGTTGGGGAGGGGGCGCGAGTCTCATTTCCAAATTCTTCATTCGATAGGCAGCGCGCGAGCGTTGTTTCCATTCATCTGCCGCGCGGCCAACCGAACGAACGAACAACCTGTCTCGGCGCGCAGTGTTAGCATCGCTTGCGCGCATCCTGGCTTCCTTCCGTTGCTTCCTTAGCTTCTTTCTCGCCCTCCTTTTCTTTTTCCTCTCCCCTTGCTTTGTCTAGCCCCGCCCCCCCTTCCCTTCCAGCTCGGAGCTGTCGCCGCGTGCGAAGGGCGCAGCCCAAAGGGCGTTGCTGTAATTCCTTTGTGTGCCACGAAGTCTCGCGCAAGTCCTTTGCGCACGGTCTGGTTAAACTGCCGGCGCGGGGGGCGCGCGAATAAATTTCCTTCGCTTGAGATCGTTTTCGCCGCCCCCACAAGAGCACGCGCGATTCCTTTGTGTAGTGCTTGCTTTCCCGCCTCGAGGAGCGCGCGCGGCCTGGCGCTACAATCGCAAGGCCGCGGCGCCTGGCAGCGCGATGCAGTTGCGCCGGATACCGCGCCCAAAACGACCCTGCGTGGATTTTGGGTCTTTTGCCGAAATCGCGCCGGCAGCTGGCCAGCCGCGTCGCCGACCCTGCATGCCCGCTCGCGCTGCTGCGTTCTGCTGCCGCGACGCGTGCTGCTGTCAGCGGATGAACAAACTGACGTTGCACGGTGGTTTGGCTGTGCCAAACCACCATGGACTCTTACTTGGTAGCGGATTTGGGGATCTTGTCGCCGCCGACAGCCTTGCCACACCATACGTGTCAACTGCATCCTAGAGCGCGGCCGTGCATCAACCGTGGTTCGGATCGCTGGGGACCCAGTCGCATGTGTGCGCATGCGTTGCACCGTTCGTGGTGCCAAAACCCTTTGCGTGAAATTCCATTGTGCGTTTTTTTCCGGCCCCTACAAGAGGGGCTCGCGCCAGCTCGGCGTCCTCGAGCAGGCCTCGGTGCAGCCCAGGGTCGTGGCCCCATGCAAGAAGTTCTACGCGGAGATCACCAGGCGGGCCAGCCGCGAGAATATCCAGCCCATCACGGACGAGCAGATAGACGCGGCGGCCGCCGACTACCTCGACGCCCTCTATTTCCAGGGCCGCGAGGCGGCCTCGCGGGGTCGGCCCCTGGAGGCCGTCAAGTCCATGAGGAGCGGGGGCCCGTTGCCGCTTGCCCCCCCGCCCCCGCGGATGAGATGGGCCCTGCAGGGCTTCCGCAAGGCGGCCCCTGGCGCCTCTAGCCTTGGGCTGCCTTGGGAATGGGCCGCTGCCATCTCGGGGGCCCTGCTGGCCGCCGAGCGCAGGGGCGCTGCTCTTTGCTTTCTGACGTGCCGCGATGCGCATGCCCGTCCTAGGGGTGCCATGGAGCTGCAGGTTGGGGGCCCTGAGCCCACTGCGCCCCGCCTCCAGGGCCGTCGCCGCCTGTGTCTGGCGGCGCGACCGGAGGAGAGGGGCTCGCCTCGCAAGGCGGGGAGCTTCGACGACGCCGTCTGCGTCGAGGACCTCGACGCGCCCCTCTCGCCTCGCGTGGTCCGGCTGGCGATGCGGCGGGGCCCGCGCGAACTTCTCTTCCGCCTGTCGATCAACAAGTGCAGCGGCGCGTTCGAGGAGGCTGCCGACCTCGTCGGCCCAAGGGGCGAGCAGCTCTGCGCGCGCCGGGCCAGGCGCGGGGGGGCCTCGAGGGGCGCCGCGCTGAAGAGGCGCGACCTCGCCGAGATCCAGGAGCGGGCCGTCCAGAGAACCTTCAATTCCGTCCGACGCCACGGAAAGTCTGGGGAAGCGCAGCGGGCGATCAACAGGTCCCCTCCGGAGACCGGCCTACAGCCGACTGGCCGTCAAGGGCCTCAACGAATGGCTCCATAGACGTCCTATGCCGCTCAACATCCTGCCTGTCAGAAGAGGGCGCAGACTGAACGGGAAGCGGCAGAGATCTTCGCTGGCTCTGGAAGGCTAGCCGCGGCGCTGGCTCGACGTGGCACCCCATGTGAGGGATGGGAAATCAATGGCGGCTCGTCTTGCGACCTCACTCTTCCTGGCCACCAGCGCAGGCTGCTGTCGGGAATCCACGGGCGCAAGGATTGCCATCTACACTTTGCTCTGCCGTGCCAGACCCCCTCGCGGGCCAGACGGCCAGGGGGGCCTGGCCCACCGCCTCGGTTCTCTTGACCACGAGGGCCTTGGGTCCGCAGAGTTGTTGCTGCTAACGTTTTCATATCTTGCGTCGTCAAGGCCTGTGGACTGGCCTCAGAGCAAGGTATCGCGGTGACGATTGAGAACAGGTTCGCCTCCATGCTGTGGGTCGCTCTTGAGTTGCAAAGGATGCTCGCGGAGCTCAACTGCTCTTCCGCCCGTCTAAATTTCTGCTTGTTCGGTGAACGGTGGCGGAAGGCCACCGCATCTGTTGTTGCAGTTGCTGGCCTCGGCTCGCTCGCGAAAGAATGTGCCAGCTCGATCTGTCGCCGCGCCGGTTTGCCGCGCTGGATGCTCGAGGGTAAGGGCCCAACCGGTGTGTTCTGGACGCGGCGTTCTGAACCCTACCCACCCGCTCCACGCTCGCTTCTGGCCTCCACGCTTGCCAGTGCAAAGGTGTGGGATAGGGCAGAGTGCGCAGGCCTCGCGCTTGAAGCTTGTTGGCAGGCCAGCGCCCCTCGCCGGCCCCTGCGACGCGCGGAGGTCCATGTGGTACCTGATGCGCAAGTGCACGGGCTTGTCCGATAAGGGCTCCAGTGCGAGCTATTTAAGAAATCCACCAGTCGACGGAGATTCGCAACCTTTCGACATCCTTCGGCACGAGCGCCGCATCGTCGGCGCGCGCCGCGTCGGCGCTGAGAACAGAAGTTCGCGCATCCGAGCTGCGAAATTCCGTCCTTTTCGACGCCCCCTATCAGCGCGCTCAACATGATGATGAACAAGTGCGGGCTCGAGGGGCCACCCTTGAAGCGCGATGCCGGAGGGCTGCGCGTGCGGGTCGCCGATGCCATGCTCGTTTAATGACGTTCCATCTTATTTTTGGCCTTGAGCACCAGAAAGAGTTCCGAGCACCAGAAAACTGCAGGAACTGGAGGGTTTTCACGCGTCGGGCCCTGGGAGGCAGTACTCGATCGACACTGTTTCGATACTTTTCTGGGTGCTCGAAGTTTTTTTGCGGGGATGTGGTTCTGAAGTGCGATGGAAGTTCGTCTTTTCTTCCGAACGCGCGCCCGTTGCGCGTGTGACGGCAGTCGCCTTGACGCGCGGGTCGGCCAGGCCGAACAGGGCGAGAGACCCTCCGGGCGCGTAGAGATTCAGCCTTGCAGTGGGGTCGATGAGTTTTGCAAAGCCCATGGTTGAATGACGAAACCGCGGGGCGACCGCAAAGCCGACTTCTGCAGGATTTTCCTTCCTGGTCACGCCGCCGGTGAGAATCGTCGAGCATCCGTCCTGCGCAAAATGCGGGGCTTCAGCTGCGCGCGTCTCTTGCAAGCGCATCGCGTCGATTCTTCCCTGCTCCGCGACAACAATGATCTGCTCAAGTTTTGTGAATTCCGCATCGACGCTCAGGCCCTCGACGTTCGAAGAGACACAAGAGAGCGAGTCTCTAGGCTGGCGCTGCTGCGAATGTCCCAATGAAATTGCCTTCCATGCCGAGGCGATCATTCTGCCGGCATGCGCGGCGCGCGTTGGGCCCCGCGCGGAGGCCGAAGAGCATCATGTAGTGAAATTGTTGGCGGTGAAACTCGTGGCTGGCGATTGCGCGGCCGCGGCTGATCTGCGAACCAATGCAGCGCCGCGACCCCCAGTGGGGGCCGCCTGGTTCACCGTCGGCGCCGGCCACGCGGCTGTCCGCCCAGCTGCCGGTGCCCCTTGCCCGCGTTGCCTTTGCCTTTGCCCTCGTAGTTGGCGCCTTCCGCGGCGCCCTTCGGGGCCTTCTCGTATTGCTCCGAAGACTTGGCGTGGAGCTCTCTGATCAGCGGGCTGTTGTGGAGGTCGCTCCATGCTTTCCAATCTCGGCCCTGTCCTCGGCCATCGTCGCCAACGCGTGCTCGCCACTTGCGGTTGCAATGTTCGGGGCAACCTCGGTGACCGAGATCGTGCGTGGAACCTCCCCGCTGCTCCTCCAGCACCTGCTTCAAGCCAAGGCGCAAGTTGCGGTCTGCTCGCGCCGCTGGACGGCGGGCCTGCGCAGCCCGCGAATTTTTGCTGCTGTTGGCGAGGGTGGCCGAGCGCAAGAGGTAGACCGAGCCGTCCCGGAGAGCCTGAGAGCGAGACCCTGCAAATATAATGCCTGCGAGATTACCGATGGAGTGCGTCTACGCACGGGTGGGCCGCTGAGGTATGAGAGTTGGTCCTGCAACCAGGTCGTGGCCTGGCCGCCCCGATGTCCCCAGGCCCGTCCAAGTGGCCGATGGCCATGCTCACCGCCCTCATGTCCATGGCCTCGAAGGCCAGGTCTGGACCGCCCCGCGTTGAGCCCGCCATCGTTGATCAAGTGCTTCTTGATGCATTCGCGGATCTTGGCCTCCTTGGCATCGACCGATGTGGAATGCTGGAGTTTCGGATGTCGTGCAGAGTTGTTCGAGCTTGTCCACCTGGGTGTTCTAGATATTCATGCGCTGCTCTATGGTGTCCTAGTGTTGAGTCAGGGCCCCCCTCTCCTCAAGGACGAAGCCGCCCAGTTTGAGGAAATCGGACGGAGTCCGGCGCCTGCCGCAGTTCGTGGGCCGAGCTGTTCAGTCAGTATAGCCGCGATTCCCTGGGTGGCAACTAGCCGCCGCATTTGTGGCTCCTGGATCAACTCCTATTCTTCCTCTTCTTCCATCCCTGCTGCGTGTCCTCGAGCGTCATATGGGGAAGCAGCAGCAGCGTCAAAATCAGGCTGGCGGACACGACGGCCCTCACAGTCCGTGGCGTGCTCCTCTGGGCCCCCAGGCATCTGCACATAGCCGTCGTCAAGGAGTGGCACGAAAGGTGAATCTGGTCCATGGCCCAGGCGCGCACTGGTCTTCATCTTCATCCACGAGTGGCCCGAACAACTTGCCCACTGGCGCGCCACCCTCACGGGTGTGGTCGCGAGGGGCGGCGTTCGGGGAAAGCCATGGGGCTTCGAGTTTTTTTTTTCTCCAAATTCATCGCAAAGATCGTATGTATCTCGCAGTCGGTCTCCTGGGAGGGGCTCGTCAGGGCCCTCGCGGGCACTCCAGAATCCGTCGATGCCTGAGATTCGGAAAGAACCCGCGCTTTAAAGGTCTTTGAAGTGCGAATATTCCGCGAGCGAGTAAAGTGCGCCGCGCCCGCGCGGGAGCCCATTTGACAGGACACAGTGAGCGCGGCGCCGAGCGAGAGCAACCTTTCGCCCTTTCGCGCGGGATGTGTGCCCTGTTCCGTTCCTGCCCTCGCTTTGCAATGTCGACGCCGAAACGTCCATGTCGAAAGGGACATTAATGTATTGCGAAGGCCTTACGGCCGGTGCCGCCGACTCTGAAGGGGGACAACGACGACAACGGCGACGACGACGACGACGACGGCGGCGGCGGCGGCGACGACGACGACGCTGACATGGGTCAGAGTCCTCAGTGATGCTGTTTGGGGTCTCTTCGGAGCGCTCTCGGAGGCCTCTGGGGGGCAGTTTGGGGGCTTTTTGGGAGCATCTTGGGGGATCCTCTCGGGGCCGAGGGCTTGAAATGTCCGTTCGGTTCCCCCGTCAGGGCTCCCTGTTGGAGACTCTTGGGGCGCTGGCGGCCTCCTGGGGGTCGTGCAGGAGAGCTCCGCGGACCTCCGCGCGGACACCTCGTCGGAGAGGGAGAAGGACTTCTTCGGGCTTTCGGGACCGCGCGGGGGGAAGCGTATCTGGGTGGGGACCCCCCAAGACCCTCCCGGGACCACCCCCCGCGGGGAAGGAATCAAAGGGAAGTGGCTTCCCTTCGACTCCTATCCGACTTTGCCCAATTTCGCGTTGGATGGCGCGCTTGAGGAGGAGGGCCCAGAGAAATGGAACGGAGAACGACGGAGACGACGACTCGAACGGAGAAGCCCGACTCGAACGGGGAAGCCCCTCACACTCGCCGACAGGGTCGGCGGACTGTCTTGGATGGGTAGGATGAAGCGTCCAGGATTGAAGGACTATTAATTGCGAGCCAATTTCGTGAGGTCGAACCAGTCAGCGGGCCGCGGTACTTCCCACCCACCTCCCAATAACAAAGGAAACAATGGTGCCACAACTTGGCATTGGGACTGGGACGCGCTCCCACCTAGCGAACGTAACGTGGTGAGAACGCTGCTCGGGTAATACGGTAACTACGCTGCTACGTCCTTTCTCTGAGCGCCTGCGGCGCTTTCCGCCCGCCCCGCCACAGAACGCGACTCGGCGCGTTGCGGGTGTCCTGTCTTTTGCTGACGTAGCTTTCGACCGTCCCTGGAGGTTGAGATCGAAGAGAGGCGCCTGCCGTGGTCTTGCCTGTGACTCCTGGAGGCCCAAGCCTGCTCTCTCTCCCGCTCCCCGCCCCAGGTCCCCTCGATCCGACCCCCGTCTGTGACCCCCCAGATCCCCGCAGGTCACTCCCACCGAAACCTTCAGAAACACCGTCGTCGTCGTCCTCGTCCTCATCGTCGTCGTCGTCGCCGCCGTCGTTGTCGTCGTCGTCGTCGTTGTCGTCGTCGTTGTCCTCTTCCTCCTCTCAAGCGGCCCGCCCGAGGACATAGATGGACAGGGCCCTGGCGACTGCGAGGGCCCCGGCCCGGAGGACGCCGGGTCGCAGTCCACCTCGTGGGTCTGCCCGAGGTGCACGCTGAGGAGCGCCTTGGGGCCTGCGGGGCCGCGGCCGGCTTTCGCGGCCACGCGTCCGAGCCCGTGCCTGCGCGTGTCCGTGACGGCGTTGATGTTCGTGCACGTGGCCGCGATCGCGTGCGTGTGCTGATATGCTCGTGCGCGTGGCCGTGATCGTGAGTCTGAGTCCGAGTCCGTTTGTGCATGGTCGTGCTCGCGTGCGCGTCCGAGTCCGTGCGCGTGCGCGTGTCTGTGCCGGTGTTGGTGTTCGTGCGCGTGGCCGTGGTCGTGGGATCGCCGTTCACGAGGGATCCCACGGCGCCCTCAAAGTGCCCGCCTCATCGCAGGTGTGGCAGCTGACCGCTTGTGTCGGAGGAGAAATCGAGCGTGCGCGTGGGAGTGCCTCGTGTGGCCGCTCTTCAGAAGGCCACCTCTTGCTCGCCTCGCCCCGCTGAGTCTCCTCCCCTGTCTTCCACTCCACCCGCTGGGCTCTTCCGCTCCAGGCGCCAGGGTAATTGCCGCGTCCGATGACGCGCTCGGCGCCGCCGAAGGAACAAAAGAGGTGCATATTCCGCGATCCTTCACGGTTGACCGATCCACGCGGCATCGGAAACCAACGCGCATGTCGTCACGACATGAATCCACCGTACGTGCTTGGCTCGGTTTTCGTGTTCGGTTTACGTGCTTGGCTCGGTTTCGGTGGTCGTACGTGCTTGGCGCCGAGGGGGGGGGTTCAAACCCGCCCCCCCCCCTGGCGCTGGCGGCGGCCAGAAGCGCCGGCGCTGGCGCCGGCGACGGCGGGGACGCAGCGACGATAACCACCACTACAACCACCACTACTACCACAGCTCCACCGAAGGCTCCAGTGGCAGGGTCCGCATGCGTCATCGCCACCCAGGACAGCTTTTCGTGGCCCCACACTTGGCACCTGTGCCGCTGGGTGCCCTCGTGGCGTCCCAGGAAAACAAGCGGGTTGGCAGCCCGATCGTCACCACAGTTCGACGGGGCTGTGGGAGAGACTCTTGCCCTGGGGTTGGCCAGGCCAGGCCGCCCTGGCGGGTATTTAACATGGCGGAACCATGTGTTTCAACGTGTCTAAGCCACCTATGGGGGTGTCTAACATGGGCCAACTGGGGCAGCTACTATGTGCTCAGGCCTCAGGCAATTCGAGCTTAAGATCCAGATCGGTTTGGTCAGGATTAGGATGCAAAGGAAGACTCGATCAACTACGCTATAGAGCACAATCGCGGCATGACACATGGCAGTTCAGCGCGGCGCAGCACAGCACAGCCTTCGGCACGGTACATCAATATCGATACACTCAGCATTGCCATTGCCCGTCGCCCAGTCAGGTGTCTTGAAAACGTCGCCATGCCTCGCATGTCCACATTCCTTTCCAGGTTCGTGGGGCGACCATGTACGTGTTCAGGCCACCCCGGCGGGGTATCTAACATGGTGGTCCTGCGCTGGAACCACGTGTTTTCACGTGTCCAGGCCAACCAGTAGGGTATCTAACATGGTGGTCCTACGCTGGAACCTCGTGTTTCCCCGGAAGGGCATGGGCCCCGGGTTTTCTTCAGCTCTTTCCCCCCGGACCCGACAGCTGTAGGGCCGGCCAATCTATTCTGCGATAAATAACGAGGTCGCGTCGGGCCGGCGAGTTCAAAAGCTGAGGATGTCCCAGGCGACGCGGCTGTTTTTTATACAAGTTTGCTGAGGATGTCTCAGGTGAGGCGCTGGTTTTGCAGAATTCGGAAATTTCTCGAGCGGGGTCCTCGTGGGGGGTCAGAATTTAGAGGATGTCTCAGGCGACATGCTTGTTTTCACGTGCCCAGGTCGGCCAGGGGGATATCTAAATTGGTTGTCCCTCGCTGGCGCCCCAGACGACCGTATGTTGGATATCCCCCTCTGGTGGGCTGGAACCATGAGTTTCAACGTGCGCAGGCCATCAGGAGGGTATCTAACATGGTGGTCCCGAGCTGGAATCATATGTTTTCACACTTTCCAGGCCACCCACGGGGGTATCCAGCCTGGTGGTCCCGCGCTAGAACCACGTGTTTTCCATGTGCAAGCCACACAAGAGGGGTATTTAACATGGTGGTCCTGCGCTGGAGCCGCGTGTTTTCACGTGTCCAAGGCACCCCAGGTGGTACCTCACACGGTGGTCCTGCGCTGGGACCTGATGTTTTTACTTTTCCAGGCCACCCAGCGGGGTATCTAACATGGTGGTCCTGCGCTGGAGCCATGTGTCTTCACGTGTCCAGGCCGCCCAGAGGGGGTACTAACATGGTGGTCCTGCGCTGGAACCATGTGTTTTTTCCCAGCCATCCTGTGGTGTTGGGTCTTCGTTTTGACGAGACAGCGCCCCGCGTGTCCTCTCCTCTCCTGTCCTCTCCTCTTCTCTCCTCTCCTCCTCCTCCTCCTCCCCCTCCTCTGGGGGTGTACGTGGGCTGTATTCGCGTGGGTGTCAAACAAATCCTCCTCCCCCTCCTCCTCCCCCTCCTCCCCCTTCTCATCCGCCTCGTCACCTCCTTGCGTTTCACCCACCCAGGACAGCGCTTCGTGGCCCCATAATTCAGGAGCTCCACCGAAGGCTCCAGTGTCAGGGTCCGCATGCGTCACCGCCACCCAGGACAGCGTTTCGTGGCCCCACAAGGAGCTCCACCGAAGGCTCCAGTAGCAGGGTCCGCATGCGCCACCGCCACCCAGGACAGCGTTCCGTGGCCCCATAGGGACTCCAGTGGCAGGGTCCGCATGCGTAACCGCCACCCAGGACAGCGTTTCGTAGCCCAACAGGGAGCTCCACCGAAGGCTCCAGTGTCAGGGTCCGCACGCGTCACCGCCACCCAGGACAGCGCTTCGTGGTCCCCCCATAGGGAGCTCCACCGAAAGCGGCACCCACAATACGGCACTCGCAGCTGCATATGGTTGGGTCCTTCGTCAGGCCAATTACGTGTTCAGGCCACCCAGGGGGGTATCTAACATGGTGGTCCCGAGCTGGAGCTACGTCTTTTCAAGTGTCCAGGCCACCCAGGGCGATATTTAACATGGTGGTCCATGGTGGTCCCGTTCTGGAGCCATGTGTTTTCACGTGTCCAGGCCACCGAAGGGGGTATCTAACATGGTGCTCCCGAGCTGGAACCATGTGTGTTTTACGTGTCCAGGCCAACCAGCGGGGTATCTAACATGGGCTTTCTGCTGCTTTCCTGAGGCCGGGGAAAGAACGCCGAGAGTTTATTCGTATCCGCTATCGAGTCGTCGACTTCTTGGCCTCTGGGCGCCTCTGGGGGCATTCCTGGACCCTTCTGCGGTCCAGGCGACCGCATGTTCGATTTCCTCCCTGGGTGGCCTGGAACCATGTGTTTCAACGTGCGCAGGCCATCAGGAGGGTATCTAACATGGTGGTCCCGAGCTGGAATCATATGTTTTCACACTTTTTAGTCCACAGAGGGGTATCCAACATGGTGTTCCCGAGCTGGAACCACGTCGTTTCACGTGTCCAGGCCATCCAAGGGGGTGTCTAACACGGCAGTCCTCGCTGGTCCCACGTGTTTTTACGTGCCCATGCCACCCAGGGGGGTATCTAACATGATTGTCTTGAATTGGAAGTGCGTGGTTTTACGTGTCCAGGCCGCCCAGGGGGGTATTTAACATGGTGGAACCAGGTGCGTTAACGTGTCCAGGCCACCAAAGGGGTATCTAACATGGGCCAACTGGAGCCTTCCCTGGGGCCTGGAAAGGACTTCGAACATGAAGATGTGTTGGGGATGTCTCGAGCGAACCACTTGTTTTCACGTGTCCAGTTCGCCCAGGCGGATGTCTAGCATGAGGATGTTTTGAGGATGTGTTGAGCGAAACGCTTGTTTGCACGTGTCCAGGTCGCCCAGGCGGATGTCTAGCATGAGGATCTGGGCTGGATGTCTCAAGCGAAACTCTTGTCTCCAGCACGTTCCGTAGCGCGCCCCCTCGGCACGTCCCGCGGTGCGTCCCCATGGCACGTCCCCTGGCACGTCACCTGGCGCGTCCCTTGGGACGTTCCGCGGCGCGTCCTCCTGGCACGTCCCCCTGTCAATTAGCTCTAGGGCAGCTATATGTGCTCAGGCCTCAGGCAGCTCGAACTTAACATCCAGATCGGCCCAGTCAGGACTCGGATGCAAAGGAGGACTCGATCCACTACGCTATCGAGCACACTCGCGGCATGACTCGTGGCAGTTCAGCACGGCGCAGCATAACACAGTTCTCGGTTCGGTACATCAATACCGATACGCTCAGCATTGCAATTGCCCGTCGCCCAATCAGTTGTCTTGAACACGTCGCCAAGCCTTACAGGTTGGTATGTGTTTTTTTTGTCCTCTCTGGTTTCGTGAGTCGATCATGTTGAATTACAATTGGACAACAATAGTTCCACCGGAGGGAACCACACTTGGACTACACCTGCACTAGACATGAACTGCAATCGAACTACAGTGGATGTACGCTTTCACTGCAAGGGCTACGCCCTCACCATATTTGAATTACACTTGAACTACACATGGAGTTCATCTGGAGTACGCTTAACCTACACTTGAACTAGACTTGACTTACACTTGAACTACACTTGAAGTACTCTTGAGCAAAAACTGAATTACACTTGAACTGCAATGACTACACCTGGGCCGCCCTTTTAGCACTACATCTGACTTGTATGTAAGTATACTTGGATTAGGCTTGATCTGGACTTGGCCGACACTTGAACCACAGGGGCTTCGCCTGGACCGCACTTGAACGACACGTGAACTACGCTTGAATTACTTGTGACCTACATGTGCAATGCGTGTGAACTACTCTTGGATTACACTTGAACTACCCTTGGGCTAGACTTGAGCCACATGGAACACAAGCGAGCCGCAAATTAACTTCATATGGACTACGCATGAACGACACCTGCATTACACTTGAATCGGGCTTGAACTACGCGTGAACTTCTTGTGGATTACAAGGACTACACAGGGATCGCATTTGAAATGCACCTGACCTACACTTGAACTGC